CGCCGTTGACAGCCAGATCTTAGCCAGAATCTAGCCGTCAACTGCTAGGTCTCTAGCCCTAGATTCGGCAATTGCCAAATCAATGGTAGATTTGGCCAACTGTTGTTAACAGCCAAAGATCTAGTTGTTTCCGACCAAATCCATCGTTAATCTAGCAAAAAACGATCAGATCGGCGCATGATCGGCCAAATCCGACTGGTCGATTGCCATTTTGGCCACGTTGGTTAGCAGTGGTCGCTAGCGGTGGAGGTGGTTGCTGGTGGGGGTGGGGGTGGGGGTGGTGGTCTTGGATGGCCTGCAATTTTTTTTTTAAATACAAGGGCAATACTATCCAAAAACTTAATTAATTATTAGGGGTAAAATTGTAATGGTAGGTTCATGTAAATTAATTTCAAAATAAGGACATTATTGCCTAGAAATATTATTAATAAGGGTGCATTTGGATCAGGGACATATAAGATAATGGGGGTAATCTTTGTTTATTTTGCAAAATTCTAGTGTTTGGTTTGCAAGTAATAAAATATTACAAGTATCTTTTATTACGAATAGTATTTATTGTTGGTAATATAGGGGGTAATTCGATACTCTCCTCTAATCTGATTTTTATACCTATTTTGCCCTTAATTAAATACCATTTCAGATACAATTGCTCTCAAATGTCTATCAAATAACCATTAACCCAACCTCCCTACATTTGAGACTTTAGCTAAAAGACGACAGGCACAAAAAAGTTTGAAAGTTAACAAAATACCCCTAGCCACCCAAGACCACCGTCAGCTGCTGGCTGACGTAATGGTGCATAACTCGTGGGATCTGGCTAATCATGCACCAGTAAGGCCTCTTCTGACAATTTCATGGCTGAAAACGGCCAGATCTGATTGTTTCACAGCCAAAGATGTGCCCATGAAACGACCACAAATTTAGCCATTTCATGGCCATAGATTTGGTCGTGAAACGGCCATGGATTTGTGATCCATGACTAGAAATGACTTTGGGTAGGTGGGGGTGATTTTGCTATAAATTAAAGTTTTATATGGTTGGGGTGTTTTAGCAAAATTTCAAATGCAGAGGGTTAAAAGAATGATTAAAAAAGAAATAATAAAAATAATATTATATTAATATTTAAAAATGAAGGCAATTTAATAATCTATATAACATACCCACTCATTTATCCTCCTAACTAAATATATTACTCACTAATTTATTCGAACCGACCAAACACATTTCTTAAATATTTTTAGTAATCTTCAAGATGATCTATCTTTCCATTAATATAATATCCCCATATAATAAAATATTATATGATCCAAACGCCCCCTAAAGGATATAAATTGTAACAAAATTAACATTACCAAGTAATCTTGAAATACCTAAGAAAACGAAAGTAATCAGATTACCACCTATATAACCAACAATAATTACTATTGGTTTTGTAAGATTACCAAAATCTTATATTATTTGACAACTAAACGTGATAATTTAAGTAATATAAGATGATATTACCTCAGTAATAGGAGACAATCCCTAACCAAACACCCCGTAAATGTATGGAATTGATAACCCCTTTTCATCACTTACAAACTTATCCTTCACTCAAATATTCAATCCACAAAATCAATTATACTTTTCAAAGTTACACATTTATATAATACATGTATTTAATTAAATAATAGAAAAATTCAAGTTAAAAAATGAATTTGATTAAGATAAATGAATTTAACAAAATATGTAAAGATAAATGTTTATTTTAAAAAAACTAAAGCAAATGTTTTGAAATTTATATTTTGAGATAGACAAAGGCTAGAAAATTAAAATAAACCTTAAAATAATTTTAATTAAGACAAAATAAAAATAATGATTTTTTGGTACTAATATTTTCCTCCAAAACAATTAAGATTAAATTTTTAAATGAATAATAAATTGTGCCGAAACTGTTCTAGCATTTTAATAATTTTTAACTGATTTATAAAAATAATGTGGAACAAAAAAGAAACTGCTTTAAGTTGGTAAAGTGGTCAAAGGGGTAAAACAAATTTTTTAATTTAAAATTGGATGGAACCCTAGCGTATCACTACTAACAGGGGTGTAAATAAAATTAAAATACATATACATATATATATATATTTGAATGTTAACTTTAACGTTTAGAAATTAAAAAAAGGGGTCTCAAACCAGGGGTATTAATGTTCATTCATGATACTTAGGGTGGGACAATGTAATTAAGCATGAAAATTAAATAACCATTATTTACATTTGACATCGATGCATGCATAATAGTTAAAAAGAGTAATTATACACAACTCTTTAGAATGGAATACTATCCTAGATTAATTAATACAATCATCTAAATAAATCTAAACAAACATTTAATGAAATAATAAAAAAATTCAAATTAAAAATGAATTTGGTTAAGATAAATGAATTTAACAAAATATGTAAAGATTAATGTTTATTTAAAAAAAAAAAAATTAAAGCAAATGTTTTGAAACTTATATTATGACATAAATAGAGGCTCAAAAATTATAATAAACCTTAAAATAATTTTATATCATTAACAACAACGGTGTTTTAATACTTTCTGAACGAAGTGGATGAGTTAATACTAATTGATCTCACAAAGGTGTAAATAAAATAAACCCTATATATATACATAAATACCCTTTGAACGTTAACTTTAACATTTAGAAATAGAAATGAGACTCAAACCAGGGGTATTAATGTCATTCATGATACTTAGGGTGCGAAATGTAATTCAACATGAAAAATTAAATAACCAGTATTTACATTTGTCATGGATACATGCATAACAGTTACGAAACAAGAAGTGACACAAAATATTATATGGAGGTTAAGTTAACGAGAAACCAAACAATAAATTCAGTAATATACTTACATATAACATTAAAAAAGAAATAATAATAATAATAAAGATCATATTATATGACTCTTTACAATAGTGTTATCTAAGAGTAATAACAAAGATATCTTACCTAAACTAACTGCCTGCAGCTTTGATCTTCAAATATTGTGAAAGATAGACGCGTCAAGAAGCTTGTTGAAGGCAAGAAGAAATAGTTAATTAAGTAAATGTTATTAGTTCTTTTTGAAGAAGTGAATTTAGAGCAAACAACATGATAAAATGCCTGCTAATTACATATAACAAATTAAAAGTAATTTGATCAACACAACTCTTTAGAATGTTATATGATCTACGTTCAAGGTAAAAACAAATGAATGATTGAAATAAATTAAAGGAGTTGTACCTGAACTAATGGATATGCAGCTTCAATCTTCAAATATATGTATGAAAATGGATTGATGGCAGCAAAGTTAATTGTGAAACAAACACAAGTTATTGCAGAAAGATATCAGTCTTTGGAAAACCAAATAAAACTAACAAAAAAGAAAAAAGAATTCAATGAAGAATAGATGAAGGTAGGTATCAAATGGAGCATGCTTCGTAATCAAGAAAAGGAAGGTATGTTTATTAAAGTAAAATTCTAAACTTGAGGTTAAAAGGAATCTGATTTTTCCAACTTCTCTGTTTTATTTTCAATCAAAATAAATGTTATTCTTGTACATACTTCCAATGCTTTAGAGAAACATGAATTACAAATAATTTTTAAATTTTTAAGATTTCAGAGTTAAAAGAAATGGATGAAAACATAAATATTTTTTAGATTTTACATTGAATTTTAGGATTATAGCAAAATGTTTGATAATTATTTTATTATTTTTTTTTTTTATGACAGCGGGTGTTCGGGCCAGCTTACGTGCGTCTCAAATAATCCCTGGAGCCTTGAAACTACCAGTCGGATCAGAACTCCAATGGCTATTCCTATTAGTAACCGAAGAGAGACTCGAACTCATGATCTCTTAAGTAATACACCCAAAAGTCACTATCGAAACACTCGACCACCCAAAGGTAGTTTGTTTGATAAATTTCTTTGCTTTTGTTAATAATATCTAAATTACAAGCCCTTTTATTAATATTCCACATATCTTTTTCACACATTAATTCAAAACAATATGCATATTGTCACATTATTCTATCAAATTATTTAAGTCATATTCTTGTTTTCATCCATCAATTTATTAAGCATTCTCAAAGACCACCATGCAGCCATGTGAGCCATCGAACCATCATCATGTATTATTGAACACTGTGTATGTCGAAAAAGTACTTACGGTAAGGGCTTGTAAGTTAATATTGATACTTGAGGCGATTTAGTAGTTTCACGCAAACCTTAAGGGTTTAACAGTAATTATCCCTTTAAAGTAAATATCCTCTTTATATCACTCTCCAATCCTCCCATTTCAATTTGACAAACAAATGAAAAATCTAACGGCTCAAATATTAAACTGATGAAACACCTGATGTGCTGGTCTACAATAGGAAGCGTAGGAAGCAGCAGTAGAGGATTAATGGTAATTGGGTAGAGAGGCGTCCTGAGCGTGTGAGTGTGAAGGGGAATTATGTGTGATAGATGGCAGTAGGAGTATGGTTATTGGGAGAATTCTGTTATGGAGAGAGGGACTGAATAGGATAAAAGTAGACAGGGAGAACTAGAGGGGATATCTTGAAAATTGAAAAGTGCAAATTGGGAGGTTGTTGGCCCTCGAAGTCCAGCAGGCTACATTTTACTTTATTGTGTTGATTTATCCTTGTTTTCTGTTTTGTTCTATTTTTTGAGTTGCGGTTGTTGTTACTTGGTCTAGAATCGTTTAATATCAAATACTATTATCCAATTTTTTATCATCTCCTGGGTTTGTGTATGTTGCTGGTTGTGTATTTCTGGGTTTATCCATGGTTGACAATGACTGTATGATTGTGAGTTTGTGATTTGTGAGTGGGTATCTATCAATTGGTATTAGAGCAGGATTGAAGTGGGGAATGGCGGGTACGAGAACGGATGCAAGAGTTGAAGATGTTGAAAGAGAGATATCGAAACTTGGGGTTGAAATTGGTACCATCAAAGAACATATGGGTGAGATGCGGGCATGGATGAGGAGGAAAGATGAAGAAGAAGCTAGACCAGTGGAGAGAGATGGTTCGGCAGAGGCGTTGAGAAATTCAGGGAGGGTTGACGACCAAAACAATATGGGACTGGATCAAAATGAAAATGGAAACTCCGGTAACATAGGTCATAATCGAACAGAGGTAGGTGGCAGAAAATTAGAAATACCCATTCTCTCGGGTGTGACCATTATGGGTAGGTGTTTAGAGTGAAGCGTTACTTCAATGTGAATGGAATACCAGAACTAGAGAGATTGCCATGTGTATGGACAGCGACGCCGTCAACTAGATGGATGGAGGTGAGAGCTCCGATCACCACTTGGCCGGCCTTCAAATTGGTGCTCCTTCACCGGTTCAGTGGGTCACAGGAGGGTAGCCCTTACAAAGCCTTGATAGGAATCCAGCAAAATGGGACGGCGGAAGAATTTCGACGAAGATTTGAGGCTATATCTGTGCCACTAGTGGAAGAGAAAGAAGTTTTGATGGCGGCTTTCCTTAATGGACTAAAGGCTGAATTCGGGCCATAATCAGGTTAGCCCAACTTGGGAATTTAGTTTAATTATTGGATTTGGCCCAAAGGATTGAGGAGAAAAACTGGGCTTTGGAGGAATTGAAGGGTGGACCTGGTACATATGGGAGATCAGTTAGTGGGCGTGGGCTAGGGTCTTTTGAAGGTGGAATGGGCCAAGTTTTTAATTCAACTAGGTTTGGACCAGGTAGAGCACATGGGTCGGTGGAAATCAGGTCTAAGGCTCATTTTAATACATTCCAGTTTGCAAACAACCGAGAGTTTCCTCCACCTTCTCCCAAACGCACTATTCATGGAACGAAAGACCACCAAGCACGACTATAACCACCAATCAACGTGGCAGTAGTGCATCAATCCAAAGACCCTCAATTTTAGTCCCTATTTTCAGCGAAATCTTCCCTTCAGGCACATGACAGAGAAAGAAATTTAGAGGAAGAAGGGAAGGGGCTTATGTTTTTGGTGTGATGCGAAATTTGCTCCAGGCCATCGATGTGGGGACAAGCAATTTCAGATAATCCTAGTTGACGAAGATGAAGAGGTTATAGAGCAAAATAATGGAGGGATTAATAATGAAAATATGGAAGAGCCACCAAAGCAGGGTGTTGAGCTTTCTCTCAGTTCTGTCGTAGGGATAAATGGGCCGAAGACGATGAAATTGAAGGGGTATATATGAGATGAAGAGGTGATTGTGTTGGTGGATAGTAGGGCTTTGCACAACTTTCTTACGAAGGAAATAATAGAGAAATTGGGAATTCTTGTTACAAATACTCAATCGTTTGGGGTTAAGAGTAGGAGATGGATACGAAGTAAAGAGTGAAGGTAAGTGTTGAGAGGTGTGCCTGAAGCTTCAAGGGGTTGTGATCATGTAGAATTTTTTTCCTTTTGAAATGAGTAGCGCAGACATTGTGTTAGGAATTGCTTGGTTAGAGACTTTTGGAGAAACTACTATGGATTGGAAGGAACAAGTTATGAAGTTCAGGCTTGGTGATGATGCTGTGAAGTTAGTGGGCGACCTATCCCTTAGCAAAACAATTGTGTCCCTGAAAGCAATGATCAAGACGCTGCAAAGTGAAGGGCAAGTATGTATGGTTGAGTTCGGTCAGTTACAAAAGCAATCTGAGTGTGAGAAAGATGTTGATAGCCAACTATTGCCAATGTTAGAAAGATTTCAGATCATTTTTGAGCCGTTGTTCAGATTACCACCCTGCAGACCACAAGATCAGGCCATAAGATTGTTACCTGAAGCCTAACCCCCAAATATTAGACCTTATAGGTACCCCTATTACCAAAAAAGGAAATTGAGAGAATCATTGAGAGATGCTGGCATCAAGACTCATTAAGCCTAGTGTGAGTCCATTCTCGAGCCCTGTTCTGTTAATAAGAAGAAAGACGAGGGTTGGCGGTTTTGTGTCGATTACAAAGCGTTGAACAAACTGACCATTCTCGATAAATTCCCCATCCCAACCATTGATGAGTTGTTCGACAAACTTGGGGGAGCTGCAATATTCTCAAAGCTCAATCTAAAATTGGGCTACCACAAAATTCGAGTCTGGTCCAAGGATACCCACAAGACAACCTTTAGAACTCACGAAGAGCACTATGAGTTTATGGTTTTGCCCTTCAGATTGACCAACGCACCATCAACATTTCAAGCCTTGATGAACGAGATCTTTCGACCGTACCTCAAAAAATGTATGCTTGTCTTTTTCGACGATATCCTAGTGTACAACAAGAAAATTAGTTAACATGCATAGCACCTGAGTATCACCCTTCAAACTTTGATGGAACACCAATTGGTAGCTAACAAAAAAAAATGTTTCTTTGGGCAACGACAGTTGGAGTATCTCGACCATGTGATTTTAGTAGAGGGAGTGGCGGTTGACCCATCAAAAATCAAAAGCATTGTCAATTGGCTAGTTCTGAGAGATGTGAGGGCTCTTAGAGGTTTCTTAGGGCTAATCGGATATTATAGGAGGTTCATCTGAGGATATGGTAAGGTTGCTCTTCCTCTCACAACCTTATTAAAAGGTTGATTCATTTATGTGGAATGAAGCAACTCAGGAAGCTTTTGAAGAATTGAAGCGCATCCTGACCAGTGTGCCGGTCTTAGCCATGCCAGATTTTTCCAAGCAGTTTGTGATTGAAACAGACGCATCAGGGAATGGATTAGGGGTTGTACTTACGCAAGAGGGAAGGCCTTTAGCTTTTTTGAGTAAGGGATTATCACTTCAATCAAAACTCAAGTCAGTTTATGAATCGGAGTTAATGGCTGTTGTCCTGGCTGTACAAAAGTGGAGACACGACTTGCTAGGAAAGCATTTTGTCATCTGAGTAGATCAACAGAGTTTGCATTTTTTAACCGAACAAAGATTATTGGGGGAATACCAACAAAAGTGGGTGATAAAGTTACTTGGGCTGGATTTTGAGATCCAGTATAGACTGAGGCCTCAGAATAAAGCGATAGATGCTTTGTCCAGACGACTAGAAGATGTGAAGAACAATGCCTTGTCAATAGGTTGTTTCAATGGATTAGATGAACTTGAAGAGGCAATGCAGAATGATAGCAAGCTGCGCCAGATTACTCAGCAACTTCTTACTGAACAGCAGAGTCGCCCTCCTTTTAAATTAATGGGTTGACACTTGATGTATCAAAACTGCCTAGTTGTACCGAGCAAGGGACCCCATATTCAAAAACTGTTACATGACTTTCACTCATCTCTGATTGGAGGGCACTCTGGATTTTTTAGGACCTACAAGTACCTTATGAATGTTTGCGATAATGTATAGAATTGATAACCCTTTTTCATCACTTACCAACTTATCCTTCACTCAAATATTCAATCCACAAAATCAAATTTACAATTATACTTTTCAAAGTTACACATTTACATAATAAATGAATTTAATTAAATAATAGAAAAATTCAAGTTAAAAAATGAATTTGATTAAGATAAATGAATTTAACCAAATATGTAAAGATAAATGTTTATTTTAAAAAAACTAAAGCAAATATTTTGAAATTTATATTATGAGATAGACAAAAACTAGAAAATTAAAATAAACCTTAAAATAATTTTAATTAAGACAAATACAAATAATGATTTTTTGGTACTAATCTTTTCCTCCAAAACAAGTAAGATTAAATTTTTAACTGAATAATAAATTGTGCCGAAACTATTCTAGCATTTTAATAATTTTTAACTGATTTATAAAAATAATGTGGAACCAAAAAGAAACTGTTTTAAGTTGGTAAAGTGGTCAAAGGGATAAAACAAATTGTTTAATTTAAAATTGGATGGAACCCTAGCACATCACTACTAACAGGGGTGTAAATAAAATTAAAATACATACATATCTTTTAAGTAATATACCCAAGAGTCTCTATTGAACAACTCGACCACCCAAAGCTAGTTTGTTTGATAAATTTCTTTGCTTTTGTTAATAGTATCTAAATTCCAAACCCTTTTATTAATATTTCACATATCTTTTTCACACATTAATTCAAAACAATATGCATATTGTCACATTATTCTATCAAATTATTTAAGTTATATTCTTGTTTTCATCCATCAATTTATTAAGCATTCCCAAAGACCACCATGTAGCCATGTGAGCCATCGAACCATCATCATGTATTATTGAACACTGTGTATGTCGAAAAAGTACTTACAGTAGGGGCTTGTAAGTTGATATTGATACTTGGGGTGATTTAGCGCTTGCAGGCAAACCTTAAGGGTTTAAAAGTTATTATCCCTTTAAAGTAAATATCCTCTTTATATCACTCTCAATCCTCCCATTTCAATTTGACAGACAAATGAAAAATCTAACTGCTCAAATTTTAAACTGATGAAACACCTGATATGCTGGTCTACAATAGGAAGCGTAGGAAGCGGCAGTAGAGGATTAATGGTAATTGGGTAGAGAGGCGTCCTGAGCGTGTGAGTGTGAGGGAGAATTATGTGTGACAGATGGCAGTAGGAGTATGGTTATTGGGAGAATTCTGTTATGGAGAGAGGGACAGAATAGGATAAAAGTAGACAGGTAGAACTAGAGGGGATATCTTGAAAATTGAAAAGTGCAAATTGGGAGGTTGTTGGCCCTCGAAGTTCAGCAGGCTACATTTTACTTTATAGTGTTGATTTATCCTTGTTTTCTGTTTTGTTCTATTATTTGAGTTGCGGTTGTTGTTGCTTGGTCTAGAATCGTTTAATATCAAATACTATTATCCAATTTTTTATCATCTCCTGGGTTTGTGTATGTTGCTGGTTGTGTATTTTTGGGTTTATTCATGGTTGATAATGGCTGTTTGATTGTGAGTTTGTGATTTGTGATTTGTGAGTGGGTATCTATCAATTGGTATTAGAGCAGGATTGAAGTGGGGAATGGTGGGTACGAGAATGGATGCAAGAGTTGAAGATGTTGAAAGAGAGATATCGAAACTTGGGGTTGAAATTGGTACCATCAAAGACTATCCGGGTGAGATGCGGGCATGGATGAGGAGGAAAGATGAAGAAGAAGCTGGACCAGTGGAGAGAGATGGTTCGGTCGAGGCATCGAGAAATTCAGGGAGGGTTGACGACCAAAACAATAGGGGACTGAATCAAAATGAAAATGGAAACTCCGGTAACACAGGTCATAATCGAATAGAGGTGGGTGGCAGAAAATTAGAAATACCCATTCTCTCGGGTGTGACCATTATGGGTGGGTGTTTAGAGTGAAGCGTTACTTCAGTGTGATTGGAATACCAGAATTAGAGAGATTGGCAGCGGTGGCCATGTGTATGGACAGCGACGCAGTCAACTAGATGGATGGAGGTGTGACCATTATGGGTGGGTGTTATGACAGAGAAAGAAATTCAGAGGAAGAAGGAAAGGGGTTCATGTTTTTGGTGTGATGCGAAATTTGCTCCAGGCCATCGATGTGGGGACAAGCAATTTCAGATAATCCTAGTTGACAAAGATGAAGAGGTTACAGAGCAAAATAATGGAGGGATTAATAATGAAAATATGGAAGAGCCACCATAGCAGGGTGTTGAGCTTTCTCTCAGTTCTGTCGTAGGGATAAATAGGCCGAAGACGATGAAATTGAAGGGGTATATATAAGATGAAGAGGTGATTATGTTGGTGGATAGTAGGGCTTTGCACAACTTTCTTATGAAGGAAATAATAGAGAAATTGGGAATTCTTGTTCCAAATACTCAATCGTTTGGGGTTAGAGTAGGAGATGGATACGAAGTAAAGAGTGAAGGTAAGTGTTGAGAGGTGTGCCTGAAGCTTCAAGGGGTTGCGATCATGTAGAATTTTTTTCCTTTTGAAATGAGTAGCGCAGACGTTGTGTTAGAAATTGCTTGGTTAGAGACTCTTGGAGAAACTACTATGGATTGGAAGGAACAAGTTATGAAGTTCAGGCTTGGTGATGATACTGTGAAGTTAGTGGGCGACCTATCCCTTAGCAAAACAATTGTGTCCCTGAAAGTGATGATCAAGACACTGCAAAGTGAAGGGCAAGGATGTATGGTTGAGTTCGGTCCGTTACAAAAGCAATCTGAGTGTGAGAAAGATGTTGATAGCCAACTATCGCCAATGTTAGAAAGATTTCAGATCATTTTTGAGCCGTTGCTCGGATTTCCACCCTGCAGACCACAAGATCAGGCCATAAGATTGTTACCTGAAGCCCAACCCCCAAATATTAGACCTGATAGGTACCCCTATTATCAAAAAACGAAATCGAGAGAATCATTGGAGAGATGCTGGCATCAAGACTCATTAAGCCTAGTGTGAGTCCATTCTCGAGCCTTGTTATGTTAATAAGAAGAAAGATGGGGGTTGGCGGTTTTGTGTCGATTACAGAGCGTTGAACAAACTGACCATTCCCGATAAATTCCCCATCCCAATCATTGATGAGTTGTTCAACAAACTTGGGGGAGCTACAATATTCTCAAAGCTCAATCTAAAATTGGGCTACCACAAAATTCGAGTCCCGTCCGAGGATACCCACAAGACAACCTTTAGGACTCATGAAGGGCACTACGAGTTTATGGTTATGCCCTTCGGATTGACCAACGCACTATCACCATTTCAAGCCTTGATGAACAAGATCTTTCGACTGTACCTCAAAAAATGTATACTTGTCTTTTTCGATGACATCCTAGTGTACAACAAGAAAATTAGTGAACATGCATAGCACCTAAGCATCACCCTTCAAACTTTGATGGAACACCAATTGGTAGCTAACAAAAAAAAAAATGTTTCTTTGGGCAACGACGGTTGGAGTATCTTGGCCATGTGATTTTAGTAGAGAGAGTGGCGGTTGACCCATCAAAAATCAAAAGCATTGTCAATTGGCTAGTTCCGAGAAATGTGAGGGCTCTTAGAGGTTTCTTAGGGCTAATCGGATATTATAGGAGGTTCATTCGAGGATATGGTAAGGTTGCTCTTCCTCTCACAACGTTATTAAAAAAAGATTCATTTATGTGGAATGAAGCAGCTCAGGAAGCTTTTGAAGAATTGAAGCGCATCCTGACCAGTGTGCCGGTCTTAGCCATGCCAGATTTTTCCAAGCAATTTGTGATTGAAACAGACTCATCAGGGAATGCATTAGGGGTTGTACTTATGCAAGAGGGAAGGCCTTTAGCTTTTCTGAGTAAGGGATTATCACTTCAATCAAAACTCAAGTCAGTTTATGAATGGGCGTTAATGGTTGTTGTCCTGGCTGTACAAAAGTGGAGACACTACTTGCTAGGAAAGCATTTTGTCATCTGAATAGATCAACAGAGTTTGCATTTTTAAACCGAACAAAGATTATTGGGGGAATACCAACAAAAGTCGGTGATAAAGTTACTTGGGCTGGATTTTGAGATCCAGTATAGACTGAGTCCTAAGAATAAAGCGACATATGCTTTGTCCAGAAGACTAGAAGATGTGGAGAACAATGCCTGTCAATGGGTTGTTTCAATGGATTAGATGAACTTGAAGAGGCAATACAGAATGATAGCAAGCTGCGCCAGATTACTTAGCAACTTCTTACTGAACTGCAGAGTCACCCTCCTTTTAAATTAATGTGTTGACACTTGATGTATCAAAACTGCCTAGTTATACCGAGCAAGGGACCCCATATTCAGAAACTGCTACATGACTTTCACTCATCTCTGATTGGAGGGCACTCTAGATTTTTTAGGATCTACAAGTACCTTATGAATGTAGTCTACTGGGAAGGAATGGAAAAAGACATCTAGGCTTATGTAGATGTATGTGCAGTGTGCCAACAAAGTAAGTACAAGGCTCTGAGTCCAACAGGGTTGTTGCAACCTCTCCCCATTCCCTTTCAGGTTTGGGAAGACATTTCAATGGATTTCGCCATGAGGCTTCCAAGGGTGCATAATGTTGACACCATTTTGGTGGTTGTGGATCAACTTACTAAATGGTNCTACAAGTACCTTATGAATGTAGTCTACTGGGAAGGAATGGAAAAAGACATCTAGGCTTATGTAGATGTATGTGCAGTGTGCCAACAAAGTAAGTACAAAGCTCTGAGTCCAGCAGGGTTGTTGCAACCTCTCCCCATTCCCATTCAGGTTTGGGAAGACATTTCAATGGATTTCGCCATGAGGCTTCCAAGGGTGCATAATGTTGACACCATTTTGGTGGTTGTGGATCAACTTACTAAATGGTCACTTCTTAACGTTGAAGCATCCATACACAGGAAAAGAGGTGGCGGCCGTATTTATTAAAGAAGTGGTTAGATTGCATGAGTTTCCAAGGACTATCATTTCTAATTGAGGTAGAATATTCATGAGCCATTTCTGGGGGGAATTATTAAAACAACCGGGGACCCAGCTCCATATCAGTTCAACTTACCATCCTCAGATTGACGGACAAACTGAGGTTGTGAATAGGTGTTTGGAAACCTACCTACGCTGTTTTGTGGGAAATCAGCCTCGACAATGGCCTAAGTGGATTCCCTAGGCAGAATTCTGGTTTAATACAACCTATAGTTGTTCCACTGGCATGAGCCCCTTTAAGACACTTTATGGAAAGGACCTTCCAACCTTATTGAAGTACACTGACCATAATTCATCCGTTGTTAAGGTAAACCAGTAGCTTCGCGATTGTATCAATATCCTCCTTAAGCTTAAGGACAATCTCAATGAGGCTCAAAATCGTATAAAGAACTATATCAATGAGAAAAGGAGAGATGTTCAGTTTGAAGTGGAAGAATCAGCGTATCTAGCGCTCCAACCATACTGTTTGCGATCTTTGGCCCAACGGTACAATGAGAAACTTAGTCCGTAGTTTTATGGTCCTTTTTTGGTTATTGGGAAAGTTGGAGTTGCCTAAATCTACACGCATTCACAATGTCTTCCATGTATCCCAATTGAAGAAAACCACATTTCCACTACCAAACATCCAACCTCTCCTCGAGACACTCAATGAAGATCTGATTCTAGTCGTGGAACCGGAAGAAGTGATGAAAGCCAAAAGGTTACTTAATGGCAACCAAGAAGTTCTCATTAAATGGAGAGAGCTGCCTCAATATGAAAACACTTGGGAAGATTACACCAACATGAACCTTCAGTTTCCCTCATTCCAGCTTGAGAACAATGTGGCTCTTCTGTTGGGAGGGAGGAAGCTATTGATGAAACACTTGATGTGTTGTTNAGTGTTTGTGGGGATAGAGAGTGTTGTCAACACTGATGATGGTGTTTTTACCCAGATCACAAGAGTGCTTTTGTTAGATTTTAAAACTATGAGGCCAAATGAGTATTTATTAGAAGTGTTTTTGTTAGATATAAACCTTGTTGGATTGATGGGAAAACCAGCCTAACCGGGTCGTTGATTGCTTTGGGTTTGAAAACATTGCTTTTTACATTGAATTCTAGGACTATAGCAAAATGATTTTATTGAAAAATTTTAACCAAACATGCTTGATAAATTTCTTTTCTTCTGTTAATAGTATCTCAAGTCCAAACCCTTTCATTAATATTTCCCAAATCTTTTCAAAACAATATGCATATTGTCATAATATGCTATCAATTTATAAAGGTTATATTCTTGTTTTCATCCATCAATTTATTAAGCAATGTCAGAGATCATCACGCAGCCATCGAATTGTCATCATGTATTATTGAAAACTGTGTATGTTTGCATTGGACTAACTATAAGCCCCAACAAGAATGTACCAAAAGACAAGCCCTGGCCACTAAAACAAATCATACTTTAGTGAAAAACAAAAGCAGCTCTATTTCTGAGAAAAATCCAAGAACACATACTTGACTCGACTATTAATTGATAATTACTTGACAGCTAGTCTCCTTTTTGATGCTGTTGTCTTCCACGAATGAGTAAAAAGCCAAAAGATGCCACCATTCCGATCAGATACCCTGCCATGGCTCCATAACTCACACAAATCGGCCATTCCTGTGAATTGAAAATGAGATCATTCAAGCCTAAATAGAAAACAAGCAGCTCAAACAACACATTCATCCAGCAAAGGAACCACAATCCAGCTTTAAAACCAGCCAAGTTGAGCAAATGCTTGACAGATATAAACATCATAAGATATATCATAAACCTAGATACTATATAAGTTAAATTTTCCGAAATTATTATCCCTATATTATACATAAGCCAGAAGAAGCACAACCAGACAGTCAGAATTTTTTTTAAAAAAAAAAAAAAAAAAATCTACACCAATCATTTATTAATTTATAAGGGTTGGTAACAAACCGATGGAACACCATGCCTAGACATGAAGTCAGCAGACTAGGTTTGGGGTTCTCATAAGCCCTAAAATGTTCAAGATGCAATTTATCATATAACCAATGAAGTGCCACCGAGTTAATAATAAAGAACCTCCAAGCAGTCAGCTAAAAATTACTACATGGAGCATCAAATTTCACACCAAAACTATACGCATAACCTAAGAGAGAACCAAAAAAGAACAGACGAGGCAATGCAATAATTTGAAGTTGAACTTCTATATCAAAATTTCAAGCAAATTGTGCCCAAACAGCTCACAGAAGAAAATACAATTCGGATTTAAATTGGAACAAGTTGAAAGCAAGAGTTAGATTGATAATATGCCATGATCCTCAATAAATGAGCACATAAGTTCATATATAACATGTCCGTTTCATAAGAAATTATAGAGAAATAAGATATAAAATTTACAAACTGCTTTCAGTTTTAGCCCATTATATGAAGTAAACCGGGGAAATAACAACTAACCTGCCATGGCCTCTCCCAATCAAGCGGCATTGGCCAAGCGCCAAACCAAGCTCCAATAACAGCTCCATGCGCTGGTAGACAAATCATATAATCTACAGATCCATTTGGCCTAAAGAGTAAATAGATTCAAATTTCACATCAGTGATTACAATTTGACCAACACTCAATTCACTGATTTCATTGAGTACATTCTTTTATTGAGCTTCATTAAGTTTAAGAAAAATACAATAAAGTTCTTCATACAACAAAGCATGACAGAAAACAGAAACAAAGCTAAAACAAAACACAAATCCTATTACTGTCAATTTGTACTTCTCTTGTCAGTTTAATGGACGTCTATGGAAACACACTCCAATCAATGGTTGAGGCCAACATGCAGACTCCATGAACAAAATTGAGGGAAGCTCAATTATGATTTCACCCCAAGATTTGGTACAACACATCACAACCTTGCATGCATCCTAAATCCAGTAATTATTGTGCAATTATATGTCCTTGTCAATAAATGAAACATATACTACATGAATTAATGCCTAAATACAGAAAATAAACCACCAAAAAATGTGAGAAGGCTTACTTTGTATGTGCGAATATACGTCGCCAATCTTCCCACAATGAACCATATACCGAAGCAGCAGGCACAAACTGCCAGTGCACAAGATAAACATTCAGTAATACATAATAGGATAACACATATGAAGTCTGGTAAAACTCAAATGCAGCTAACTTGTTCGCTCATATATATATATATATATATATATATATATGTTGGAGAGTGATAATAATATAAAAGAAATTGAACGAAAACTTCTTTCATATAACATTTGTGACATTTTATATCTGCAATGTATGTGCAGCATTATATACAGGACATGAGGTTTAATTCAACAGACTTCCAACTATAATTTCTTAGTTATAGTACAGCAGGAAACATTGAAGGAAGTCATGTACTTACAGTGAACAGTGACATTAAAAGAGAATAATCAAAGGTATTTGTCATATACTTGTATCCAATAAGAAAGAGACACGATCAATTCACATTTTGTAAAAAACTTAATTTTACTAATACAAATAAACATTCATCTACAAGTTATTTACTGTTATATACATTTAATCAAAAATTATCTTGACACATTCTCCACAATTTTGAAAAGAAAGTCACAGTTGAGATTTGGACAGTTAAAACAAAATTTTAAAGTGAATTCCCCACCCACCTTTATCCATTATATTAAAGTTTTACATTTTATTTTGGGAGAAAAGCAAAATTCATAAAGTTTTAGAAGGAAACAGGAAAGCCACCTGTAGAAAATGTAGGGGCTTTGTGTACCTGACAGTGAAGAAAGGTGTTGTCTAAGGAACTATGAGTGAACCCATTTTGACCTCAACTGTGACTTCTGTTTCCATAATAACAGTAAAAGGCACAAATTTTTATCTACCCTTATTTCACATACTGAATACCCACAGGTGCACCCAAAGCAATAGCTCCTAAAGCATTTACAAGAGCCCCTACAAAGTAGAAGATGGATCAGTTATTTTATATTATGCAGAAAAAACAAAGGGGACAGAAACCCTTGCATAAAAGTAAAGACATACACGAGATGTTAAACAAAACATTTATGATCCTTTTGTTTTACCAAGCGTTGTTACAAGGTAGTGCTACTCTAAACCAAGCTATATTTCTCTAAAAGCTGACACAAGACTGTTACAATATAATCCAAAGCTAGACACATGACTTGGAGATCACTCATTGTATCGGGAAAACATTTCTTTAAGGACCCGTTTATAACCATTGCCTTCCATCTTCAGGTTGGATGGACAAAGTGATACACACATGCCACAAATTTGCTTATAAGCATGTAAAAACTTCATCACTTAACTACAAAAACAAAATTATTGAAGCTAACAAAAGTAAAGCATATAACAAAAACATTTCCAATAGAAGTACATTGAACCTACAAAGGCTATGAATCTTCATCAAGCCACATTTAAATGCTCCACAAAAATTTATTATTTACACTGTATAACAAACTAATCCAACAATCTTCAAAATCAAATACACATCATTACAAACCAAGGAAATAAAAACTAATATTAATATGGAAAAAAGATATCGTTTCATTCAAAATCTAAAGCAGAATGAACAACATCACTCATTGTCTGTTGCAACATAAGTTCTGCTTTATCTTCAAACTAAATGGAAGAAAACACACAACTGTGCTAAACATTTGTATCTGTACAGATACAAAATCCACAAATAGAAACTATACTAAATAAAACTAGTGAAACAGTATTTAGAAAAGTAAAAAAAACAAAAAGAACAAGACAGAATAAAAAGGAGCAACACGAATATCAGACTAACCAACAGGGAGTCCCAGTAGGCCTCGTACCACGGCTTTGAAATACTGTTACAAAAATATAAAGGAAATAAATAAAAAAGCACATAAAAAATCAATATCAAATAACCTTAGGCCTTCAACAATATCAGTGAGTGGATGGGATGAATTTTTATGTAAATCATTACACATTGCATGAAACATCATATTTGTGACATTATTGCCAAATTTGTAGTGAAATATGACTTGTAATATTATAAGTATAAAATGTTCCATAAATAGCTCTAATGCTAGACCAAAATCACAGTGAAGTTATGGTAATAATTTTTTTTCAGATAACATATGACATACACTTGTTACATGGATCAGTTAAATAGCCGGCTTTTTTACACACCTTTTAATTTTTTTAAGAGAATCTCAGCCCTTGGATCAAGAATCCAAGAGCTTAGCTACAGTAATAAAGTTATCGCCCAAAGAAACTATAAGAATCCAAGAGCATTTCTTTTTACAAGTTGCTTAAAAGTTGCAAATATAACAGGCCATATTCATCATAACGTTTCTTTAATTGCAATTATGCACTTATATAAAAACAAATCCAATGGTCAATATCATCCCAGTAATATTAAAGGCAAATACTCTAGCAAACTGTATTTCAGTATCATTACCATAAACTTCCATATACATATAAGCATAAACAAGCATTGCTCTTTTATTGCCACATCGTTTGCTCTCATAAAATAAATTAATTTTTTTTTCTTGTACTCTTCCCTACACATTAGGTAGTGCACAAATAATAAAGTTGAAGTGTAGCATTTTTCACATTAAAAAATTGCCAAAAACGAGCAAATAAAATAATTAACAAAAATAATGTGAATTACCGAGGATTTGTCGGGATTTTTCCGCAAACAGCTGTAAAGAAGAATAACAATTGGGCTCTCGATAGCCTAAATTACAGTGTTGAAACAAAATTAATGAGAACCAGGATTATAAATTTGATGGCAAAAAGTGAAAGAAAACAAGTGTACAGTACCCAGATCAGACGGAGAGTGCCCGAAGGATGAGAGACGAGATTGATGGAATAGATGTTGTGGGCCACCCAGAATCCGGCACCTAAGCCAACTCCACAAATCAGGTGGACTAAAAATGTTTGTAGCGGAGACACCGAATGCGATGAAGAAGAAGGAGTTTCAGTGGCTGAAGGTTTCACCATTTTTGCGTTTTTCGGAATTTCAGAATGAAGTCGTAAGGTGTATATGTATAATATATTGGGCTAAGTTGGGCCCAGGGGTTTAATGGGTGCAAGATCGCCCTGCTTTACCTTCGCTAATACTTACACCACCAATTCCGCTCTCAAACTTCACAGAAAGTTCACTTGAACTCGAAGAAGAAGAAGGTGACCGTAAGTTCTCTCGAGTCTCCGCCATCGGCGTCACGCCCGATGCCGGCCAGCTCCCTAACTGCGGATGGCCTCGGCGCCTCGCTGTTCCTTATTCAGATCTGCCCTAATAGGACGTGTGTTGTTTAGTACTCTCAATTTGTGCGTTAATTGTGCGTTTGGAATCTCAGAAACTGACGAAAAATGAAGGAGATGTTTGTTCTCAGAATCTAATTACTCAATAGAGAAGGCACGTCCAATGTAGTTGGTGAAGGGTGTAGGTGACGCCTGTTTTTCTTTTTCTTTTTTTCTTTTTTTTTGCCTCTTTCTTTTTGGCCTTTTAAAGATACGTGACGCGTATGTAAGTATTAATGGGCTCGAACTTGGATTTCATTTGCTTAGAAAACCCAAGGGAATTATCCTTTTTTTTTTTTTTTTAATGACCAAGTCGGTCCAACTTCTAAGATAAATCATAAATGTGATAAATACCTTCAGATGATTCTAATCCATAAAGTAAATAGCTTCTTGACCACCAAACCAACCTGGAGTTAGTTTTTTAATTGTATAGTAAAAAAAAAAGACTCTACTAATTTCTTTTAAAAATTAATTCCTTCTAAATATGTAACATTTATGTTTTTCAATACTTTTTATTAAATTTAATGTTAACCAACAACCTTTTATCATTTTTAATGTATTTTCAAATCTATATATCTTGTTAGTGATTTTTTTAAAAGTGGTTTGCAAACTGATAATTAACCTTACAAAAATAAATAAGCAGAAGACATAAGTCAAAGAACTAGCAGATGAGATTAATATATCTGTTATCGGAAAAAGGGAATACTAGTACTGCAAATAACTAATGCAAGGCCTCCCATTAATTTTAGAATTGAGATCAGGTATTAATTTAAAAGATTTGTTTCAAAAATGGACTGTTTTATCAATACATAGTTTTTTTTTTTTTTTTTCCCAACAATAATGCTACTATAACATGTCAAGTTTTCGTAATAGAATGTATCGATGTCGATTTTATTCATGTCATTATTCAAATAAATAAGAAAATTCTTAGGTGTCCGTTTAGTTCATTATTCTGATACTTTTTAGAATAATATTTTAAAAAAAGTTAAATTAGGTGGGTATTACGATGTAGGATTTAGAAATTAATAAAAATAGTCTTTATGTTTGTTTATTTACTAACACTCCTATAATAAAATATTAAAAGTTAACAAAAACACCCCCAACCCACCCATTAAATATAGACAGCCGGCCACCACTATTGGACGGTGGCCTAAGTCGCCGTATCGGCGCATAACCAGCTAGATCTTGCCGGTCGTGCACCGATATGGCATTTTCCGGCCATACCAGATCTGGTTATATTTAGTCGTCAACGAAAGCCAAAGATACGGCCGTCGTTGATGGTCAACGACGACCATATCTTAGTCGTAGATTTGGCCTTTTCCAGCTAGATCCACTGTGGATCTGGCCGGAAAAGGCTAGATCGGCGCACGATCGGCCAGATTCAGCTGATAGTGTGCCATTATACCAGATTCTGGCCAGCTTCCAATAGTGGTGGCCAGAATCTAGTAAATGTGGGTTGTTGGGGTGTTTTTGCAATTTCTAAAAAAAATATTTGGGGGTGTTTAGTTAAATTAACAAATTTAAGGGGTTTAAAATAAATTTAATAATATTTTGAGAATAAGCCAATTTTACTGTTTAACTTTATTGGGAAAACCCATAATGCTATTTGGAAGAGTGAATCAAACAGAGCCCTTCTTTTTATTCTTTCAGGGACCCTTTGATTAATGATCATTTTCTTTCATCTAGTTTAGAAGAATGATAGGCTTGGAAATAGTTTGTCCTTGAAATCAATTGCTTCTTTCTTTTGCTAAAACAAAAACTTAAGACAACTTATAAAATGAGCAAACAAACATCAATAGAAGCCTATAGGGCTACTTGTCGATGTGATCTCTCCAATGTTCAAGTAAATAGGGTTTATAAAAATTTTGGTCTCACCTTGTAGGACTTGTTACATGTCTAACTTTTGGAATTTAATAGTTATTATGAAAAGTCATTTATATAACGTCCCGTGGTACTAAATGAAATTGCTGATCCTATATCAGAGATGACCATATATTTTAAAAAATCAAAAATCAAAATTTAAAACTAAAAATAAAAATTAGATCCTCTTTCCAAACATAATGTAAGCAAAATTGAGCATCAAAAACTTTAAGTATAACATAAGAGACAAACCAAATATTATGAGACTACAAATGATTATATATTATAAGAAAATGTTTGTAATTACCTAGACATAAGATTCTTTCTTGGGCTGCAATGGCAAACACCAGAAGAAATGAGTTAAAAAATGGAAATTAAAGCATTTATCACATGTTTAATTCCTTGTAATTAATTCATGAGGTGAAGGAGTGAAGGTAGCTCTTTTATTAGGTAAATGTTGTGTAGTGTTTTGACTAGAATTAGTATTTAGTCACATGCATTTTCATTCATAAAATAGTAAAATACATATATCTATCCATTTAAAATTCCAAATTTCCATAAAAAATAATAATATATATCAATTAATTAGGCAAAAAATTAAACAAATGTATATAACATAATTTTATTAGAATGATAAAAAATATTTAGATATATGTATAACATTAATTATAAAATATCGTTCACAGTCAAATACTTTTTCAAGATTTGGATATGAATCCCATTCTTATCGACTTTTACCATCAAACTTAACCAGCTACTATTACACAAATGGCCTCATACACAACCCTATTATCACAACCACTAAAAAAGAAACTCAAATTAGCCAATTAATTTCTCTATCTTTCTTAAACTCTAATTACTGAATCACTCTTGAGTCAAGATGAAGCTTCATAATAATAATAAGAAGATATTTTAGGTAACAATTGCTCGACACTCGCTTGATGCTCCGATGGTGATGGCTTCGGAGTTGGAGGGGCGCTTGGTGTCGGCCTCTTTCCATAATCAGTTACCATTGTGATGACCATTTTGCATGGAGTACTTCCTGCAATGCAAGGAGCTCCAGTTTCTGTCAGTTGGTCTGGCGATGATGATGGATTCGGTGGCGGTGGAGGAGACGGCAGGGTCTTTTGGTAATCGGTTGTCAGTTGATGAGGTGAGGGTGATGACTTTGGAGGTGGTGGTGGTGATCTTGAATGCCTTCCACAGTCAGTAATCATGGAGATTTTGTTTTGCCTGTCTTTATAGGAAAAGAGAAAGATTAGATAAACAAGTTACTCAAACATCTAAAATGCTTGATAATCAATTTCCAATATCAATAGGTTGATTGTTTCACTCTTGTATTTCCAAAAGGAAAAAAAGATCTTTAAAAGCTTTTTTCCTGGATCTGAAAATGTAGGTTTTCCCAATAAACAAAAAGTGTGTCATACTTGAATCTAACAAGGGTTAGCAGTAATAGAGAAACCGCATAGCATCGAAAAAAAGAGGAATTTCAACTATAAGATACCCAATAAAACTGTCATTGGAATCGATATCTCATTCAAGATAATTATAAAACTCCTAGCTATGATATGGAGAAAAGAAAAACGGGAGAAGAGAGTAAGAAACTATATATACCAGCTTTTTTAATGTTAATTAAAAAAGGAAAAAGAGTTGCTGAAACAAGTATAAACAGTTGCTTCTTTGTATTCCTTTGAAAATATAAAGTTGTTGCATAACAGATCTGAATTTTCTACCAAATATACTAAAGGCTTAATTAACCTTAATTAATTGCAGAAGCTTGCTTATAATCCATGGATGCATGTAAATTACCTGATAAGGTTCTTGCTTCTGTTGAAATGGCAAGAAGAGATGCAAGAAGTAGAGTGCTCATTATTGAAGTTGTCATGTTCTTCATCAATAATTCATAAACCAGAAGAGAGAGTGGAAGCCATTTATAGACATAAAAGTGCTTTGCATAACGTAAATCATGACATCATGTCTCGCTTTATTTATTAACTATATATAATCTGGTATTAATTAATCCAAATAGTCAAAATGGTCCAAGCAGAACTCACAGCCACTTGTTTCATTTCGAATCCAATAAGAGCTAGGTCTTTGGCGATTTTATGTTTTTCCCATCTGAACACAGCATATATAATTTGATTAGATCTGGTTGCTTGAGCTCTTGACGTGGGGGTCAATGGTGTTTTGGCATGCAGACGACTGGACTTGAAAAACTCATGTAGAAGAAGCCACCACACAAAAGCAAACAAAACTGTACAACTAAGAATTGATTTGCTACCTATCTTGGACTTGGATTTTTCTTTGTTATTTACCGCCTCTTAATTATCAAGAATTAGATTTTATTTGTTTTGGTACACATGCATGTAGGTATATTTAATATTACTATATTTCTTGTATTAATATTAAGGTTATGGTAATACGGTCAGCAGCAAATCAATTTTAATAAAATTACGAAAATTTAATTTTTAAAATCATTAAAATAAGGGTTCATATTCTACCTACCAAAGTAATGCTTTTAAATTAAGCCTTTGTACATCTATGGGATTTATGTATTTTCCTAGTCTTTTCTTTTGGGATTTTTTTTTTTTTTTTTGCTTCAATGTTCATGATTTTCTGATTTAATTAGAAAGCTGTTAAAGAACTCACATTCACATCTATTCTCTTCCTTCAAGACGATAAAAAGGAAATAAATAATGAGTGATGTGAAGCCACATCCACTCATAATTAAAACTTCTACTTTTAATATATTAAGTAGCAATAGAGTGTGTGCAAAAAAATAGTGTCAAAAATTGGATCATAGGCTAAATATATTTAAAAATTTAATAAGGTTAGGTCATATCAATATATTTGATTTAATTTTACAATATCATATTGAAGTCATCAATCTAACGGTATAAGTTTATTTTTTGAAGAATAAATTTGATCTTTTTTTATACTCACAAAAAGTGATAAGACATAATTGAGAATGAGACAATCTTAAGAGTAAATTGATAATGGTAGGGGTGGCAAAAACCGGTTAACTGAACCGGTTTGCCGTATTTCTAAACCGAACCGAATTTTGGTTTAAGTGAAAAACCGAATCAAAATCGAACCAGTTTTACACTTGAACCGGTTTATCGGTTAACCAAAAAACCGGTGTTCACAATTGGGTTTAGCCCAAATCCATCCACCCTTCATTTTGGCCCAATTCCATCCCTCCCTCCACTTTGGCCCAATTCCATGGAAAGATTGTTTTTCTGGCTTTAGCAAGTTCAGTGGAGGCGATCTCTATCTGGGTTTTCTTGGTAAATAAAATAAGATTGAAAGATTTGTTTTTTTTTCCTTT